GGGGGGGGGGGGGAAGTCTATCTGGAAAGGATAGACTGATCTTGGAAAAATGTGTGGATTTAATTCTTTTAAACTTAGGAGGTATTCTGAGATGTAGGGGAGTGTTACTGTGTTATTGATCAGCAGTAACAGTTCCAATATGAAAGCGAAATTAATTTCTAAGTAGATTATCTCACTGAAAACAATGCAAGGTCAGCTAGTTTGTGAATATGTGTGCTTCATAGCTTTTTCTGAGGAATTTGGTAGGTAATAAATAATTTTAGTTATGGCAATTACTGCACCTCTGTTTTTTTCTTTTCTTTTTTTTTAACATTTGTGCTTTCAGGTAAATCAATTTTAACTTCAGTCAGTACCTCTTGTCTTGTTCTTGCTGAGGCAGTGCTTTTTGGCATTTGGTCTAATGGAGCTGTATGGCAACCTCACATGTAGTTTCAGAAGCACTGTAAAGGTGGTATTAATGAGAGGACTGTCAGTGTCAGGCTGTGGAAGGAGTCAGCAAAGTGCCAAAGAGAGGAGGCTTTGGTGGTGTTGGGAACTAAGAGACTTGAGAAACTGAAGTATGGCACAGACTTTAGAATAAAAGCTGTGTATTGGATCTAAAAATATCTTTCATCAACCCAGCTAGTTCTTTCAGGTGTTAATTTTGTTTTCAAGTGGAAACAGACTTATGAAAGGTAGTAAGCAACCTTTGCCAGCTTTATGTTGTAATAGCTTCCTTCTATTTCAAATTGTATCTGCTCTGCAAAACTAACAACTGACTTTCAAGGTGCTGAAGTTGATCAGCTATGCGGGTGAGTTGGAGGTTGTATTCTTTCTGCAGAATGTTGTATAGTATGAACATAGCCTAGCATTACAAAGATACATTTTTGTAACATAGAATGGTGTTTTCTGAGTTAGTGGACGTTAATCTCTTAATTAGTTTGTATCAAGAGCAGGTACTTCAGCATTGAGAAGTAGCAAACTTGCTTTTTATTGTGGGTGATTGGTCTAGCACAGCCTCAAGTTTTTATATAGTTGACTTACTGAAAATGTGCGTGCATAAAGTGAACATGAAAAAACAATTGTAAGTATGGTGTTTATAATGATAATTACAATTAACTGGTTTTACATAGAAAGCTAGATAGCCAGTGGTCCTTCTTGGTTCTGTTTCATTGATAACATCATTGCTAAAAGACTAGGGAAGGTAGCTGAATTAATTTGTATATGTGTACATGCTGAAGCTCGAGGCAGGATGAATTGGTCTGCACCTATGAAAGTTCTGTTTAATTCCTGGAGTCCAGCACATATTTGTGAGACAGTTGTGGAACAGTGGTAGTTTTACTCATCCTCATACTTACTTCTTTTGCTTGACTAAGTATTTGGAGGTACTTGTGCTGCCTAACTGAAAGCATCTGACTGTGCTGCTAAAGTTTAAAGGTCAGTTTCTATGTATTCTTTATAAATGGCAAAGAGTTATCAAAACTTCTGTGAAGCAGGTCACAGCAGTTTGTTTTCATGGACTGCAACCTCCTCCCTTAAACATTTTGAACAGCTTACATAAACTAGATAAAAAGCAAGGCACACTTCCCCCCCCCCTCCTTTTCCATACTTTAAATGGACTCAAGTGAATGGGTCTCTGTTTGGGGTGACAGCTCTTCTCATTAAGCTTGACTGTAGAGCTTATTCACGTACCTCTTGTGATACAGACTTTAAAAATAATTAAATATATCAGTTTATCAAAGATACATGGATCACTTTGATGGATAATACTAGTAAATGTGTTCAGTAAAAATTTATTCAAATCATTCATAGTTCTTAGTATGCAGAACCACAATGTCCTTGAAAATTTTGTTTGAAGAAACTTGTACAACATAAGGGCGGCCAGCAAATTACTAATGACTCTCGCTGAACAGATGGAACAAGACAAAAGAAATACGCGCAAGATATGTTGCTTTCACTTCATTATTTGGATGACCGCTTCATTCAACCTCGTCTTGAGAACTTAATCTCTAGAAGTCGCTGGAAAGATCGATACAAGGTATGTAGCTTTTACTTTAAATAGTGAAGTGGGCTCCAAGTCATATTATTACTGAGGGTTTTTTTTTTTAATACTGTCATTCTCTGTAAAGGTACAATAATTGCTATAATTATATGTACTTTTAAAATAGAAAACCATTGTTCTTTAACTTATATAACTTTTGATAATTATATCGGAAGTATTTTATGTGTTCATAACTAGATAAACATTCAAGTAACAGAACAGAATCTATTCTCATTTATGTGAATGCTTTTCCTGCTAACTTCAGCAGATGACTTTTTGATTTTTTTTATGACTTTCTAAATGTTATAACACAATTTCTTCCTCCTCCCACAAAAAGATAAAACCAGTATGTTCATAATTAACCTTCTACTACTTCAATAGAAATGAAGTCAATATACAGTAACTTAGTCATTGAATTTGAATTACTAGACTAGCAGTAGTTTGATAGGTGTGGTGATCTAATAATCACTGTAATAATGGAGTATGACCAGTGGAGAGATACAGGGTATTCATTTGTAGCAGACCAACTGATATAGTTGCACCCCCACCCCCTCAAACAAAAGAGAGATGAGAGAAAAATAAGTGCCAGGATGCAGGAGCCGTTCTTTACGTCTGAAGTTGGAAGAAAGAATTAAAAAATTAGACCTGAGTGAAGTGTTGGAAAATGATTGAGAAGGTATATGTTCACAACTGAATGGTGAAAGAGTTCAGATTTTAATCTCATTGGTTTCTCGCACACTAATTTGCTCATACTAAGGCTACTCAGCAGCCTATCTGAGGCTCTTTAATGTTGTTTGAAATCTGTTTTTCAGGAGCGTGTGGATTGTTATCCAGATGTTCGCATAATCTTGAAAAATCGAGAAAGTAAGTCTTGTCAGGCCTGTGAATTGAATCGGCATTGTCAGTTTAATGTGCAGCTCTCTGGAAAGCTTTATAATAGTAGAACTTTGGAAGTGGATGACTTCATGTCGGATGACAAACAGGTACTTCAAACAAGCACCCTATATAATTATTTTTAAGCTTTGTCTAGTGTTACAGAAAATTATACAAAGAGTAGAAATCCTATCAACATATCTAATGCCTATAACGCTAGCAGCAAGAGTTAAGCTACTGTACTTCCATGTCTAAACCCTATTAGTTTTAAAAATACGAGGACCACTTTGCAGTTTGGAGGAGTCTTAGATTTAGCTAGGAATTATGAAGGAAGTTCCTGTGAAACTTTAAAAGCTGAATAGAGGCATTCCTGTCCACCCTCATCATTCTTTCTTATATGTTGGGGAAAAAGGTAATAAAAAGTATTCTTAGATAAACCTAACTTCTATCAAGAAAATAAACCTGATGGGTTTTGTGACCTTTGTTTTTGCCTGCATCACAATGATCAGTGTGCTGCTTCCTCCCCACTTTTGCCACTTAATATTAGTACCTGGTGCAGCACATGTCCTTGCACTACAGTAAATGCTAGTAAGTATACCCAACCATGAGCTGGACTTCATGATAAAGAAGTTAAAGGATTCTGAGACATACAGTAGGGTTTATTGATAATGCTTACCCCTCAAGTCAAAATTGACGCCTCAATTTTTCCTGTTTCAAATGTCTACAGTCTGAGTCTCATCCAGGGCAAGAAGGAAACTCTGGGTACATGGCATCCTATACATCCTGCTCAGCATGCTTGTCTGTTGTGGTGCATGGGGAGGCAGTCTGAAACTGTGTGTCAGAGGCCCACAGCACACATGAAGATTCACATACTAACCAAAGTTCTCATATGAGCCCTTGAATCAGTTATTTCTAAAGTAGTTTTCTGTTTTGTCAGAGAACATTTAATAGAAGATTGAAAATCTTAAAACTTAAAGGAAGGAAAATAAATTGTAAAGAAATTACAAAACTGAGGGATGCTCTGAACATGCCTGACATTCCTGGTTTTTACTAAGCACTGAGAAATACTATGAGGGTTTTTTTAATCCTTAATAGATCCTGTTTCTATATGCCAGGAGCCTGAGGTTTTAAATCAAGAATGACATTTGCTTTAGATTTTATGTATATTCTAAATATCAGAATGCCTTTTCACTGAAATTAGATCACTTGAAAGCCGTTTACCTTTGTGTGTGCCTATAATACCCTTAAGACTTACCCAGCAGGAATCTTGCTTTGATTAGCTTTCAGAAACATTATAAAAATAACTTTCTGTATAATGGACGATCATCTCTATTGTGAATTATTCTGTTTTCTCTTTTGTTACAAGTAAGGTTTGTTCTACATTGGGTCACTAGGTTGCTAGTTCTGTGCCTACTATGCCCCTAGCACTTGGAGCATCCATGTGCACCCCCAGCACTGTTTGCTCTAGGTCTGGTAGAGTGAAATAGTGTCACTGTCATTCTCATAGTCCAAGTGCAACCTAGTCAGAATTTACTGCTTCATTCTTCAGATTTTTTTCACATATGCTATTTCCCATGTAGCTATTCACTCAGGACAAAGTATCTTGACATCTCAGTTGCACTGACACTTGAAACTGCTGACCTCCTTTTGAGCATACTTGTTCCTAACTGCTTTGATACATTTTATTAGAGCCTTTTACTCATTATTGCGTTATCAGAACTACATGTCCAAACTAGAAAACATTTCCATTTAAGCAGTCTTCTGGTTTTTTTTCTTACTTAGTTGTCTCTACGTTTTAGACTAAATGAGATTTTTGGAATGAAACACATTTTTTGTGTCATTACATGATGTTACACTAGGCATTCTAGATGACTTGAGCAATCAATTTTGTTATATTTCGCAGCTGAGACTTTTGAAGACCTGGACTCTTAAGAACCTGGGTGTTCCTAGTACTTAGGGATCTTCCCTTCAAACTTGCAACTACCAATAATTGTTATGATTAGGTATGCATATGACCTTAAGTAATGTAATTCATGACCTCTTATGATAAATTCAAAGAACATGATTTGTCAAGAATAAAATACTGCTGTAGTTGTGTACCAAGCTGATATCCAAGTTCTGCCTTTCTTCCCTTTAAGGAGGTATAGAAGGTATATTCCCTTTCTTTGAGTGTAAAAGAATCTTTGAATACAGCTGAAGTTCCTCACAGTATTTGCTGAACAGAGAAAAGTGTCAGAACAAGTTGTATTTACAATATATTTTGTAATGTGGTATAATAGGATTTCTTGTATAAAAATAAATTAGGCCTTTATCAAACTGGATGTACACCTTACTGAGGAAAAAAGAAAAAACGCACACAGAGCTACATAAAACTGGGACTTCAAGAACTTAATTGACTGAAAGAGAAGGCAGTTCAGCACTGGCAGATTAGATTGAATGGAAACACGTAGTTGGAATATTTTCTAAAGTTTTATTTGAAAATACCTGAGAAAAGTGGATGTGGAGAGAACAAAAACAGACCTCCAACCCTCTTCTGCATAAAACTTTCCTTTTTTCTCATCTCTGAAGTATTCTGCTTTGCCAGTAGAAAGAGAAGAGACGAGAAACATCTGTTCCAGTTTTGCTTAGGCTTGTGGTGATTGTTCTGTCTGTGACTGCCAGTTCCCATTCTTCCGTAGTTGGGGAGAATCGAACGGTTTGGAGATAAAGGTGTCCCTCACACTTCTTTGCTTGCTTTGTCACCTGGATTATAAACTGTTTTTACTCTCAGTGTTGGTGTTCTACTTCCATTTATAATCATGCATAGAGGACGTGGATTCAGCTACTACATGTTGTGCTATTGTCAGACTATGCTCCTGCATTCCATACAAAGTGATTTAACACAACTTTGGCTGATATGGCCAGCTTGAGTAGATAAGTTAAGCATTAGGACAGAGTCACTGAGAACTGCAAGAGGAAAAAATTAGCATGAGTACAGTACTGAGATTCTTTCCAAAGCTGCATTCTGAAATAGCATTGTATTTTTAGACAGTCTTTCTCGCTTTAAAAACACAATACATAATTACATTTATATGATATTTAGCTATTTGCCTCTGGCATTTCTCCAATATAGAAATACTTTACACTTTGCACATAAATGAACTATGAAACTCATTGCCACAAGATACTTTGGAAGTGAAAAGTGTTACGGTCCTAAGAGGGGTTAGACAGGTTCTTGGGGAGGCCTCTGGCACACTGTGGAACATGATAGTTAGGGTGATACAGACTGTCTTAACTGTTGACTGCTAGAAGCTTTGTGGTAATGTTATCATCATTCTGGTGTTCGTCTTGCATCTTACACTAACTTCCTAAATAATCTCCTGCTGGCTGTTGTCACAGGGGAAGAACTGGGCCATCAGTTTGATACAAGATGGTATCTCTTATTTACATCACATAATGTTCCAGATGCCACACTTCATTCCTTGGGATGCTTGAAAAGTTTTGAAATGCTTTGTGAAACACTGCAGCTCAGTTCTTGGTGGTTTCAGTATTTCAAATTTCTAGAAGTACCATTTCAATGAATCAAGGTTATACAGTGGTTGGTAGGTCTTGTACTTCAGAAGCACCTCTAAGGACCAAACACAAGTCTTAGCTTTTCAGTTATAGGAAGAGTAGAAAATGGAGCTGCATATACATGACCAGTAGAGAACTGCAATATAGGAATAGGGATTTTTTATATCAAGGTGGTAAAAATTTAATAACCATCTACTGAGGGTCAGATCAAAAGTTCTTTTAGGTGAGTGTGTCTCATTCAGTGGTATTACACCTACTTGTGTTTGTGGAACTACTGGTTAATACATTTAAGAAATTAAGTATATTCATATATTTAAGGAAATACATAAATAATACATAGTTTATATAATATTTATAAATATAAATATGCTTTTCTGTTACTGTTATTGTCAGATAGATCCTGCTAGTGCTACGTTTTACAAGTAGGTCTGGGGGACTGCTCACAGATGCAAACATTTAGTCATGCATTCAGAAAAGCTTCCTGAAAACGTTGGTTGTAAGCATTAATTAAAACTTAACTTTTTCATAACTTAAAAGAGTATTCAGATTATTACCAATGGCAGCAATAAAGGCTATCACTCTTGTGGCTCAAAAGAGATAATTTTGTAACATATAACATGGTTGTTTTTTTGATATATGTGCATGTGATCTGAAATAAATACCAATAAAATTGCAGCTTGCATCACTGGTGCAAAAGACCTTTAGCCATTTACCTGCTTGTTACTCACAAAGGTATGACAACCGTCCAAAACAATGCTGCCTTTGAAAGATAAGTTGTTGTTTGAGGTTTTTTTAGTAAAACTAAATCAGTTTCTCCTGTATGTATCAGGAGCTGAATTTCTTCATGCATGTATTCGTTGTATTGCTTTTGTGTGTAGAAAACCAGATGTCCAAAAACCAGACAGATGTAGATTTCTTACCTGATAGGCTTTGTCTTCATGGCTTGGAGTAGTGATCAGTGTACCTGTGAGTCATTTACAGGGAATAGGTACATCTTCTGATTTGCTGTTGTACATACTCTGACAACTCTTGAAATGGAACAAAAATTACTCTTGTGAAAGGCAGGATGTCCTTAAATGCAGATGAACTTTGACTCTTTCTCCCTCCCCATACCGCCGATTTCACATACTCTTAGGGAAGATTTAGATTTTTGCCAAAGATTCTTGTAACCAATATATTACTCAGTATTTTCAGGTAAGCACCTTCACTGCTTAATATCTTGTATAAAATCTGAGTTCAAGGTATGTGCAAATACTTGCCTGTATTTAATGTTAGTGCTGACAGAGAATAATACTCTAATCCATGCTCTGATTTTGTACTTACATGCATCTGTACCATTTGTTTAGCGATAAATACTGCTGTAAAGAAAACTGTTAAGTTAGATGGTTCTGTCTTTTCTGCATGGAATTTGTAGAAGTAAAACTAGTAATAACCAGGAGCTGAAGAGGCTTTGGTACAGCGTTATGGTGTAGCTGTACTTCCCAGGCAGTTGCATATTAACATTTGTGTTGTATAAAACCTCGGTTTTCAGATTTCATGTTTATGAAATCCAATCTCTCTATATTAAATATATGTTTCTAGGCATATGTCTGTCTGTATTCATATGTATTTCTTGAAGAAATACTGATTATTCAGTCTACAAAATGCTAGAACTAGTGTTTCATTTCCCTAGGAAGTACTACGTATTAAGCAAAAGTATTCAAATAATTTCTCTTCCTGTGCTTTCAGTCTGATGGTTGTCTAAAATGTTAGTGATTCTGTAACAAAGTTCCACCAGAAGACAGGAAAGATACTACAAGTTACAAACATGGTTGTGTTTGCAAGAAAACAGTACTGATAAGCTGCCATTGCATAGACTTGCTGGTTGCCTCCTTGCTCAAAAATTGTTCTGCCGTGGCTGTGAAAACTAGATGGTTTTGCATGGATTTTATGCATGTAGTGTCATTCTGTTTATTTCATTATTCAAAAAATCTTCTTGGAGTGACTGATAAAATCTTACTAGACTGACTTAGCCATTCTTCATATTGTCAAGATAGTCACAGTTCTATCGAGAGAATAATGTGTTCGCTTTGGCCTAGGTTTTGAAGGTTGGCGTGGTATGTGCAAATCGTACAAGAGTTTATCATAATTTGAAGCACTTCAAATACAAGTTGTATATGGATTGCAGCTCTATTACTGAGTTGGATGGTGTTGAGGATGAACCAGTCAAAGACACAGTCACACGGCTTTTCAGCCATTTGGAAGACAGTGGGTGGATTCAGAAGGTACAACTGAGTTATTTGGTGTATCCTTCTCTAAGTAGATAAAAGTAAACTGAGATAAAATGTCTGATTTGACTGATCAGTTCTGGATTACTGGGCTTCAATAATATAACTCAGCTTAACCATTCATCCACTTCTGCTGACCCAGTCTGTCAAACAGTGGTATGCTGTTGCGTTCACACAGACTTTGTGTAAACTTTTGACATGAAGCTTTTTGACAGCTGCCTGATCTGTGGGCTGTGGTGGGCAGGCTCCTGTTTCATTTGAAAGGAGCAACAGAACAAACTCAAGCTGTAACTTAGGAAGAGTGGAAACACGTATGTGAGGCACAGCAAGGATATTTTACTCTTCTGTTTATACTGAAGTACTATGAATTATTCAGAAACATTTTATGAACTGTTTTAAAAAAACTTGTAGCACAATTGTATTTAGCAATCTTTCAGATATCATTGCTTCTGAATTATTGGCATGCTTGTTAATGTACTGAAGAAAAAAAAAAAAGCAGTGTATGTAATTCAGTTATTAAACGTTGACAAAATAATACAAGTTTTATTTTATTTGCAGAGATATAATGATCTTGAAGACTACATGAATGATGCAGACAATTTTCAAGAAGAGAAGATGGATTAAGAGGTCATATAGCTCTTTGAAAGACATCTTGTAAAAATTTGAATGGCCTGCTTTATCTGCATATACTTTATCTTTCTTGGTCTTCAAGATTCCTTTTAGGTTGTTACACTTAAATCTGTATGCCTTTAAACTACTGTTTGAGAATGTGTGCTGTATATTTTTTTTTCTCACCTGTGTCAGTAGTAACTTGACAAGGATTACCAAATCAGTCCTTCCAGTCTTACTGCATAGGTTACTTTAAGTTTCCTTCTGTTCTTAAAAATAACACCTCAATATGTGTTTATTTGTGAAATAAACTCCCACCTATTTATATTGAGCTGTACCATAGGGAAAGTAGGAGATGCTGAGACCTTTTTCAGTAGGTTATTTGGAAGAGTAAAGCTATGTTATACAAGAACATATGACGTGCATCTTACCTTTTTTATTGCTCGTTATATGTAAGGAAGTCCAACCATTTAGAATGATAGTTACAATAAATGGGACCTGATGCAAAGATATTTCTCTCTTCTGAGGAATCAGTATAGGCTGTTGCAAGGCAACAGAGGAGATACTCTGCAATCCTGACTACGTCTGCAGCACAGTAGTCATTCCTCTCTTTAGAGAGTAGGTGATGAGTCATATTATAGGCGTCATACAGACTGAGTCTGGCTTAGCAATCTAAATGAACAGTTGGGCTCACAGTGCTGTCTCTGATAAGCAGCTGGAGCAATTTACTGAGATTTTAAACATCAAATTACTTTGTGCAAACATAGTGGCCACAACTTGCAGTAACTAAAAAATTAAGAGAATGGATTGATGTGGCCATGCAAGATAAGCAAGAATTATTCCAGTGTAACTTAGCAGAAAGTAGGAGTTACTCTGAATTGTGATGCATGGCTTATCTGAATGGCATGAAGTTCAAATCAGAGTTCTTTGGAACCAGGGGAGTAGATTTTTGAGTGAGGAAGGGTTAAGTACTGTGTTGTCCATTCTGAGAAATTGGACATGAGCTGGCACTGTGCGCTCACACCCCAGAAAGCCAATTCTAAGCCAGGCTGCATAAAAGGAAGTGTGGCCAGCAGGTCCAAGGAGGTGATTCCCCCAACTACTTTTGCTCTCATGACACACCTCCTGGAGTGCTGCATCCAGCTCTGGGGTCCCCATCACAATAAAGACATGGACCTGTTAGAGGGGGTCTAGAGGAGGCCATGAAAATGGTCAGAGGACTGGAACACCTCTCATATGAAGAAAGGCTGAGAGTGTTTGGGGTGGTTCATCCTGGAGAAGAGAAGGCTCTGTGTAGACCTTACTGTGGCCTTTCACTGCTTAAAGGGTGCTTATAAGAAAAACAGAGAGACATTTTTACCAAGGCCTGTAGTGACAGGCAACAGTTTTAAATGGAAAGAGGGTAGGTATAGATGGACATAAGGAAGATATTTCTTATGAGGAAGGTGGTGAGACACTGGAACTGGTTGCCCAGAGTTGTGGCTGCTCCCTCCCTGGCAGTGTTCAAGGCCAGGTTGGACTGGGCTTTGAGCAACCTGGGCTAGGGGAAGGTGTCCCTGCCCATGATGATCTTTAAAGACATTACAGAATCATCTAGGTTGGAAAAGACCTTGAAGATCATCTAGTCCAACCATTAACCTAACACTGTTCTCAACCACACCAGATCCCTCAGCACTATGTCAACTTGACTCTTGAACACCTCCAGGGATGGGGACTCCACCACTGCCCTGGGCAGCCCATTCCAACATCCAACAACTCCTTCTGGAAAGAAATTCTTCCTAATATCCAGTCTAAACCTTCCCTGGCACAATTTGAGGCCATTCCCTCTTGTCATGTCACTTGTTACATGGTTAAAGAGACTCATCCCCAGCTCTCTGCAACCTCCTTTCAGGTAACTGTAGAGGGCGATAAGGTCTCCCCTCAGCCTCTTCTTCTCCAGACTAAACACCCCCAGTTCCTGAGTACAGGGGTAAGATCCCTTCCCTGTCCCTGCTGGCCACGCTATTGCTGACACAAGCCAGGATGCCATTGGCCGCCTTGGCCCCCTGGGCACACTGCTGGCTCCTGTTCAGCCGGCTGTCAATCAACACCCCCAGGTCCCTCTCTGATTGGCAGCTCTCCAGCCACTCCTCCCCAGGCCTGTAGCGCTGCTGGGGGTTGTTGTGGCCCAAGGGCAGCCCCCGGCATTTGGTCTTATTGAAACTCCCCCAGTTGGGCTCAGCCCATGGCTCCAGCCTGTCCAGGTCTCTCTGCAGAGCCTCCCTACCCTCGAGCAGATCAGCACTCCCACCCAACTGGGTGTCA